AATCCCAGATTTGGATTCCTCTTGCAAAATTAAAAAGGAAATGTCTTATGCTCAGAGCCGATCAGAGTCGAAATGGCAAAGTTAATAGAACCCAAAGGGGTAAAAGTGTTCCAAAACGACCAAATTGTCAATTTGGAGGGGAATAACTCCAAATTGAACGTTCGAAGGGTGCATTTTGTTCGTCTCGGCGAGGTACGATTATACTCATCCCAATTAAAATTAAGTCAAAAATAAATATAATATTCTTGGCCCAAGTAAATTTGGGTTTAGTGCAAGAAAACAGTTTTGTGAGTGTATAGAACGTTCTTTTACTGATCGGTGTTCATTTTGTTCTTTTCTTTTTGCAGACTTGCTGCGACAAGCTTACAGTTTCTATCGTTCACAATGACTTAACTGAGACAACTATCTTAGTGACTAGCGGAAATGCTCCGTTCAAAAGACCTTTCCTGATAGGACAAGGTGACGTTGTACGCATTCACTTTCATACGGATTCTAGCGTTACCCGTTCTGGATTTCGTCTCATCTACAAAGCGATAGGTAAGACCATAAAGTCAGCTACACCTGATTAGCCATTGTCGGACATTCCAAATCACAAGCCCACTAGGCAGAGAAAATCCCAAATCTATTGGTTTTGAAATTCACCTCTACCCATGGCCTTGTAATTTCTTCGACCCTCGATTGAGAATCGAGCGTTGCTCTACCCAAAACTGGGATTTCCTTATATATTTTTTACAAGTATTATTGACATAGAAAATCAGCACATTTCAAATAATGGAAAATGTTGTGTGTCTGTTTCGTAACCATTCAACCAATCATTAGCATATCAGCGCTCTGCTTCTGACTCAAAAGACAACAAAAAAGTCCCTTCTCTGAGGAATTCGACACTTGAAATCCATACACACGGTGTTCGTGGCGGCTCCGCATAAACACGCAGTTCCCGGAGGCTCGATACAATCACGGAGTTCAGCAAGCTGTAGTATTGCGTCACAACAATGTGTTTTGAAAGTTTCGGGTCATGAAGTGCGTCGGATAGAGAAAACAAAGGGCGAAAACCGCATTCCGATATATGTCAATTAGTTCAAAAGTTATTCTGATCTAAAAATGAAGCCGCCCAAAGGCGCAATGTTAATCCAAAACTTTGAAGCGCCATATCTCTGAAGCAGGGCTCCGTAACTTATCATAACACAGACGAATGCTAGTTACTCATCGTAACAAAACACATGTCAAATTAAAAGTTCAAGTTACCGATTCTGAGATATGTCTGATATAATCCGTACATACCGTGGGAAAAAGTTGGACAAGTCGAATAACTAACTTATTGGCTGAGCGATAGCGAAGCCTATTACTCCAGTGATGATCAAAAAGTTTCGTGTCTGTCTGTCTGTGTATCTGTAATCACGATAACTCGAGAACGGTTTGAGCTAGATATCTAAAATTTTAAGCGTAGCTTTGTAGCATAAAAAGAACGACTCGTTTTGATTTTGAGTCCTATAGCTTAAAAATTGACCTGTCCAAAAAATCAAAAACGAAAAACCCAAAATATTATTAAAAAAAAAATTCACATCTTTTTAAGTCGTAACTCGTTAAAGTAGAATCCGTATGCCCTAATTTTTTCCGTTCAGCTCTATCTCTAACTGTTTAGTCGGCAGAGGGCGGTTTCTACACGAAAATGACCCCAAACCATTTTTTTGCTATTTCTCAGATATTTGATGGTCTCTGGTGAGGCAACTCGTCAAAATAAAATCCTGGGGGTAAAATTTGTAACCTTTGGAGCCGAAGGGTTTTCTACGACTCTGCCTTTAGCCCGACTCGGGTGTCAGCGCCGCAGGCCTAGGTAGATGTATGCCAGGCGCGTGGCAGCGTAGCAGTGCTTCGTGTGATATCGCGAAGCCTTTTACGCGAGACGTGGTCTGGCGGATATCTACCTAGTTTCTTAAGGACTGAAGTAAAAGTTAGAAGTTATAACTTTAACTCTTAAAAACGTTAAAGGCAGTTAAGTAATAAGTTACGGAACCCTGCTCTGAAGTGACTTTCAAGCACTTACGACCCGCTGAACTGCGCGTCTGTGCGGACTGCCTGGAACTACGGGTTTGCATCGAGACCCCACAAACTCCTTGTTTGTAGGTTTTTAATTTTCGAATTGGGCTAGCCACTACCCACATTTTCTTCATATACCAGTTCGATTTTGTAAATAAATTATTATGTTCTACAGCAACATGCCCTGAGTCTTGGAGCTACTTCCAATGCAACGATGGTGCCTGTGGTGCACCCTCTTCTATTACCTGCGATGGTGTTAACGACTGCCACGACGGCTCTGATGAGTGGGGAACGATCTGCCCAGGTGACTTGACATAACACTATTAAGAGCTGCGCACAAAACGAGTCCCCCTTTTTAACCGAGCCCGTTAGAGTCGTTTCTTCAGGAGCGCGGCCAGCGAGACCTTTCAACACTACCTGTTGAACTGCACAGTCCCACCAACAAACGGCACTGTGTACTAGAAGCTCCGCCCGCTCCTCCTGCTCCTCCCGCTACGCTCCTTTATAGCCCGCTCTTATGCTTTAACAAGCAGGCCCGCCCTTCCGCCAAACGAAGTTGCCAGCTTCGCTTCGCTGCGCCGGCAACTCCGTTCGGCAGGGGCCGGGCCTGCTTGGCCTGCCGGCGGCGATGCTCGGGCCTGCGGCCCGACCATTTCTGTCACACGATTTGCTGAAGAACACGTTCGAATGCAGCGGGCCTTCGGCCCGCTTAAACCCGTCGTCTTTGAGTTTGCCCCAAAGACTTGAAAAAGGGATGTAACGGAGAGGCACCGCGACTACAACCCACCCTTCTGCTTAGAAAACGTTTTTTGGGGGTGGGGGGAGGGTTTCCTTTCTACTTTGCGGTTTTTAGGCTTTTTACTACATCTTATTGTTCACTATGGCAATCTGTAGCTTATTTTCGCCTAAAAAGACCCTCTAGCACGTAAACGGTTAGAGATAGAGTAAAACGGACAAAATTTTCGGTCGAAGTCTCTAGCACATCTCCTTCTTGTGGAACACACAGACACACAGACACACAGACAGACAGACACGAGGTCGTTTGCATAAGCCCGCTGGATAGCTTTTTCAAAGCAGAAGGGCGGGCTAAAAAAGCTATTTAGCAAGCTAATGCAAATGACCTGGTGTTTGTCAGTCTGTTCCACTAGAAGATGTGCAAGAGCCTTGTTGGCTGCGCGATTAGCGAAGCCCATTACTCTACTGACCAAAAAACTTTCATTCTATTTGTGTTTTTTTGTTTTTGTTTTTTAGCCCGCCCTTCTGCTTTGAAAAAGCTATCCAGCGGGCTTATGCAAACGACCTCGTGTCTGTCTGTCTGTGTGTCTGTGTGTCTGTGTGTTCCACAAGAAGGAGATGTGCTAGAGACTTCGACCGAAAATTTTGTCCGTTTTACTCTATCTCTAACCGTTTACGTGCTAGAGGGTCTTTTTAGGCGAAAATAAGCTACAGATTGCCATAGTGAACAATAAGATGTAGTAAAAAGCCTAAAAACCGCAAAGTAGAAAGGAAACCCTCCCCCCACCCCCAAAAAACGTTTTCTAAGCAGAAGGGTGGGTTGTAGTCGCGGTGCCTCTCCGTTACATCCCTTTTTCAAGTCTTTGGGGCAAACTCAAAGATGACAGGTTTTACATTATTTGATTATGTTCTTTGGAAAATTGCGTAAATGAAACGCTCGGCCCTGCGGCCCGAGCGTCGCCGCCAGCAGGCCAAGCAGGCCCGGCCCCAGCCGAATGGAGTTGCCGGCGCAGCGAAGCGGAGCTGGCAACTCCGTTTGGCGGAAGGGCGGGCTTGCTTGTTTTTGTTTCCTTCTCTGTCCGAGAAGGAATTGGGTCAGCGACCTGGGAATTTCAGGGAAGTTTGGTATCACGAGAAGACAAATCGAGTTCGAAGCTGAGCATTCTAGCTCAAAAATTGACTTTAAAAAAATCAAATACCACGTGTCACAATGCGTATTTTTTTTCTAATATTTTGTTGTGGGTTCCTTAGGGGTAACTCGTCAAGGTACAACTCCTTGAACGAAAATTTCGTCCGTTTTGCTCTATTTTGTACCGTTTTGGTGCTAGGAGTCATTTCTTGGCGAAAATAAGAGGAAAATGACCTACTGGTCTACTACATCGTGAAAATGGCTTAATATCGAAAAATTGTAAATGAAGTATTGCTTAACCCTTCATGGTTTTGTTGCTCCTGAGCAACAGAGCTTCTAGAGGCCCTGGGCAAAACAATTTTCAGCCGATTTGAGCAGACTCGGTTTAAAATCGACGCGTCCTAACAACAATGTTCTATCTGCAGCGTGCGGATTACACAATGTTATATCTGCAGAGTGCTGAATACACAATGTTCTATCTGCAGAGTGCGGATTACACAATGTTCTATCTGCAAAACGCGGGTTTCGGGACACCTCTAAAGGAATGCTTATTACTCCGTAACCGCTCTTTCTACTTCACTTTTTGCAGTCAATAATTAAACATTGGACCTTTACGATTCTTTCCGTGTGCTCAGATTGGCCGTAATGTCTTCCAGTTACTTGTAAACCACCCAAAGGTGAAGGGCTGCGCCTAACCCCGTTTTGCAGATAGAACATTGTGTAATCCGCACTCTGCAGATAGAACATTGTTTATTCAGCACTCTGCAGATAGAGCATTGTGTAATCCGTACGCTGCAGATAGAACATTGTTGTTAGGACGCGTCGAAATGCAAGGTAAGGATGTTAACTATGATTTTAAGCCCGACACTGGAAAAACTAACGTTACCGAGGTAACGTTTCTTGACGCGACCAAACAAGGTAACGTTTGGTGATGCAACCAGTTTGTGACGGCCCTATCCTTTTGCATGGGGTAGGTCGCGTCAGGAAACGTTACCGGTCTTGGTCACATGATGAAACGTTACCATGGTAACATTAGTTTTTCCAGTGGAGGTACGTCTGTGGTTTGGTGTCTACCACAGGCATGCGAATGTAGGGTCCTAACCGCCGTAAAATCGCCATTTTTGACACCCTATAGCAACCACACCAAGTTGATCACAACAACAACAAAATTATGCTGGTAAAGGGTACCTACCAGAGATGAAGATCCGCCCATAAGAACTTTGCTTTTTCAAAGCAGAAGGGTGGGCTAAAAAATATAGAAAAATCAGAAAAAATTGAAACCGTAGCCAGGACCTGTGTGCAAAATGTGCACCCTGTTTGCACGCGTTGTGCACGCGGTTCGCACGAGTTGTGCGTGCGACCGTTTTATCACGGGTTAGTGTTGCACCAGGTTATGTTAGTGCTTTCTAGTATCTAGATGGTATAAAACCCTTTTAAAACCATATCACATAGCTGTGAAGGGCCGCGGAATCTAAATTGCCCGTATTCTGAGAATCACCCTCCTCCCCCTGTCTGGCAGAAACGGGTTCGTTTAAAAAGGCCCAGCTAGAATAAAAAAAAGTTCCGACCAGAAACGGATCGTGAAAGCAGATGATACCAATTTAAGTGTAAGCTTTGTTCTACCTTTATCCCATATTTAAATTAGAGCACAATAGTGGAATATATAAAGTTCTGCCCACATGTTCAGTGGTTAAAGAGCCTTGGTTTTGATTTTGTTGTTTGTTTTTTTTATCCCTACGCACGCACAGCCTACCCAGCAGCAAGAGATTCTGGTAGGGGAAGGGGCCGTGCGGGGAGGGAGTCGGGCGGAGCAGGGGCTCGGGCAGGGGCTCCAGCGGTGGAAGGGGAAGGGGCTCGGCTCTCCGGACTCGGCTCGGCTGCGCCTGGCCGACGTAGCTTGGCTGCGTCTCGGCTCGTCTCGGCCGTGCGGCGACGGAAATCGAGCCTCAGCCTCAGCCTCACCATCCCGCCTAGCACAATATATGAGATTGCTGGCCCGTCTCTCGCTTCTCTGTCCTTACCGAGAGTTAAAGCAATGACACCTTACTTAAATACACTTATGTTTAGTCTCATTTAAGTAAAGTTTGTAAGGTATCATCTGCTAAAAAAACTCACGGTCTTAGAATAATCACCAAGATTTACCCAGTGTGCTTGGAAAGACCACTACGATTTTCTGTCATTAATTTTTTCAGGTCACGGGTTATGTGGAAGTAACATCACTGCTCAGGACGGCACGTTTACGTCACCAGGATGGCCCATATCATATGGTGACTTTTTATCCTGTGACTGGTTTATTCATCCAGATGTGTCCACCTCGTTCTACATGAAATCTCTTGTCTTTAATACAGCGGTGAGCACTTCAAACAAATGATGAGCACTGTAGTACCGGTACTGACTGCATCTCTTCTTCCAGCTAGCCACAGGGTGGGTGTTCTAAGCCGAAATTGTTTTGACGAAGGATTGCTAGTCCACCACGGGTCGGGAACTTTCCCAAAGCTCATCTAGGTCAGGTGCGCAGCTCGCGCGCTGGTTTGGTTGCACAGTCTGGATGCGCGGTTGCGCCCCCCCCCCCCACCTTTTCGCCTTTTCCCGCCCATGCGGTCGAGCCTACAACACCAACCGGGTGCTTACCTCCCCCTCCTTTCCCCTCATCGCAGGTGTCACCGAGCTAATATGTGCGTCCAAGGAGTGAATCCACCGCGGTATTGAGGCAAGGACCTCGTGGTGATGAACGCAAACGTACTGTGGGCCCCACGGGGATGCCCTCGAGAGACCCTGTGGATCCCGCTAACACTACGAAGGTGAACGAAAAGGATCCTCGGGAGTGGGACGGGAAGGTTTCCCTAACCCCCCGAGGGAAAGGCGGTGGTAACGCTGGGTCAGCGCTATCCTCGCGAGTACGTTTGCGGGAGTCGGGAGTCCTTGACTGTGCAACTGCGTGGAGTTCGGGACCGGCTCCGTGTTGTGGTGCGTTAACCTAAATCGTAAAAAAGTCCGGCTTAAAACACTGACCATGTTTAGTCGTGCCAGCCAAAGGTCCCGCTCGCGTCTGGCCCAGCCGCACATACGCTGTAACGGCCGCAAGAGTGGCAATCTTTGGCTGGCCGGACTATAGCTGTGAGCGAGAGAACGTCCCCGAGTAAGAGGCTTCGAAAACTCTCACGAAACCCTGACACTGTTACGCTGCTATGCGGACTTAATGGACTTAACAGAGTACGCGTCAATTGTCGAGGGGGTATTCACTTCCGTAATACCCTGTACACTCCACCTGGGTATTACTTGTAATGTAATTCCGAAAAATAACAAAAATGCTACAAAATGGAAAAAAAAATTGCGTGTAATACCGGCGTAATACCCGGTAATACCACGTAATTCTGAGTAATACCGAGTACTCTGTACAAGTTTTATGGTAGTGAATACCCCCTCGTCAATTGTCTCAAGAGCTGGAGCGAGACTTACCTTTTTTTCTTCTGTTTTAAGGTCAATTCTGTTTTGTCAGTTTCTGTCCTATCCAATGACAGTTTCAAGGAGAGAAATGAATCAGTGACACGGATGAACGAAGTGGTGCATGATGCTTTCCGAATTGAAAAGGGAGACGTAGTGCACGTCCGCTTTACCACAAATGACACAACAGTTGCATCAAAAAGATTCCAACTCGCGTTTGTTGCTAAAGGTAAGACCTAAATCCCAATAAACCTGTTCTTTCTCTAAAAACTCACCTGTCGTACTCTACTGTCGGTTATAACTGCGAAACCACTTACCACGGTCTATCACACTTTCCGAAACCATTTGTGGCGTTGGATAGCAATTAAGTAATGCCTGCCCAAACGGGCATATGTGGTGGGGTTTCAAGCAACTTTAAATAATATAATGATCCTCACAAATTTTACTTTCGGGTTGCGTTAAGGAGCTGTCCGATCAAGGTTCTTTTCTAGTGAAATCTTGGGAGAAATGGTGCACTGTTACAAATTACCACGGTGAATTGCTACGGTGAACTCAATTTGTTACCAGGTCTGGGCCGTTACGGGCAACACAATACCTGGGTTTGGACTGTAGATCAATGATATTGTCAGCACCGTAACTTTATGGTAAGGTCCAGACCGTATTTAAATATATTGGATCACCGTAGTCATATGTGATGGTCATGACCGTAAAATAGATTACGGCAGATACTGCAAGCTTCCACTGTAATGATCCACCCACCACGAAAGCTTGTCATAAAATTTATCTATAACCACCATGTCATCAGAAATCACTCTCGTACAAATACTCAATGAAGTTTGTTTTTCCAAATCAAAACAAGTGCCCACAACCCCAGCTCTGCTACAACAATTCGAAAAGCCTCAGCAGGCATCTTCAGCATTTACTCACTTTCAATTAGGTATCACATCTCACATCTCCAACTATTCTCTTTTCCTTGAATACAAGAGAAAGAACACTTGCATGCAGTCGGATGGATAGGTCACACCCGGCAGGGGCAAAGGCAGCCGCCTAGCCTAGGTGTCACTTCTCACACGGAGTAATTTATTGTTGTGCACACAGTACGTTAGTCATCGTTACTTCGCTGATCGCAGATTTAAGCCAGTATCGACAAGAGTCGACAGTCGTTGTCCGCAGCTCATCGAAATCTCTGAAAACCTGCATTTCACTTTTCAAAATACGCCTTCCGATATATTGCGCGGTCACCATTTTTAAAACTAAACCTTCTATTTTTTGTTGTTATGACTCTCGACTATCACAACAACAACAGCAGCAAGCTGGCGTGCCATCTAGTGGTGAGTTAGGCAACACAGTCTCCAGGTCGGGGGTTGGCGCAGGTGGGCGTCGAGCCGGTCAGCTGATCGCTCAAAGATTGTTCATTCCAGACTGCCCCCCCCCCCACCCCCCGACATGGAGGACAATCAGGGAGCTCCTCACACCGTTTTTCTAAATCTGCGAAAACAGGGTGAATGGGTGGTGGGAGAACGGTTTTCTAGAGCTCTCCGATCGCCCTCCTGGTGACCGTGTTGCCCAAGTCACCGCTAGATGGCGCACAGTGATCGGAAATGCCAGTTTAGGTCCCCAAAATTCAGAAATCTAAAGTTGGTCTGATCGAGTTCGGACTTTTTTCTATCGGTTAAGAAATGTTTGAAAGTCCCCCACGCAAAACAGTTCTCACATTGGTCAAGCGGTTCCGGAGATATCGCCTGTCACAGATTTTCCTCTCTCATGAGGCGCTCAAACATGAATTGTAGCATAAAATGTGAGAGGTCACCGTGCCCTCACGTGAAGCCGGGAGCGTATACCTCGGCTTCAATCTAACGCAGCATGGTTGAAATAGTCCTATCCAGTGATGCTTGTCCATCCGAACTTCCCACCATGATTCAGGCGGTCATTATATACAGACTGAATTTACTTGTAGTTTTCACACCTTTGATAGGCGGATACAAATTTCCTCTAGCTTCCTCCAAAACAAGGCTAGCATAAAAATGTTCCCCATATGTGCCTGCAACATCCTAAAAAGGTTTTAGCTGCTGGTCACAAATGATAGATACAGTTAGTAAAACAATCACTTTTTCGTAAATCAAGAAATGTCCTACATGATCCTACTTTTACGATTTCTTCAAATTTAAGCGAGGGGTGTCTAACTCCATAAAAATGTGTACACCGGATTACAAAATTGTAAAGATTACCAATGCTTACTAAAGATTACCTATGTATACTAGGTATGATCCACCTCCATTCTAAATCGAAACGGTCATTTTTTGTTCCGAGAAAGATGCATTTTGTTCAACTCTTTGGTAGTTCTTGATTCTTTATCATGCAAGTTACATGCATTCTATGATTGGCCAAATCATGATTTTGTCCATGGGAGGGATGCAAAGTTGCCATATTAAACATGCGCGTTGGCATTTAGGCAAAGATGTGCACAAAAATTCATGTCTAAATCAACAAATTTGCCATTTTAAAGGACCTCGACGAGTGTGAGGATTACCAGGGATTACCAGTGATTACCAGTAATTACCAAGTCTGTGTACACCTGATTACCACAGTTGGGCACCCCTCGAATTTAAGCTGCTAAGGAGAGAGAAGATAACTCACACGTGCTCAAACGCGGCTACACTACCAGAGGGACAGCGAAAATTGTGGTTGCGAGCTGTTATCAATGCCGTTTTGTACCATTCATCCCCGACTTCCTGCGAATTATCAAAAATCTCGCTACTGTACATAATTAGGAGACAGCTGCATCACTGTTTCCAATATTTTTACGTAGGAGTACGTGCAGCAGCCCGTAGTGGCTGAGCTTTAGTCGTTAGTGTGCTAATATTCTCAAATGCAACGGTTAATGGAATACAGGAATAGTAATGTGCAGAGGGAAGGCCAGGGAAGAGCAGGCAAGGGGGGTGGGCAGGTGAGAGAGGGTAAGAGGGGTGGGCACTGGAAAATTTAAAAATGACACACAAAATCGATGTGCTAAAGTTATTGGCATAGTCCACAATGGTTTATTTTTGTTTGTTTTTTTACCAGTTTGAAAGTTTGGTTCTAGATTTTCCGATGTTATTTTTAGTTCTTAGTAATTGGAAGTGGGAGTGTGATGACTTTTGACTTCTACAAATGAATGCTGCAAATGTTAGCAGATTTAACTTACAATGTAACAAACAGTAGGACAAACAAATATCGTATAACTCTGGGTATGGCAAACCCTTATCACAATAAGCTAGGGCAATTCTATTCAATAGCCTCACTTGCCTCTGCGTGAAGTTAAATTGTATAAAATAATATTTATTTGAATCTCTAAATGTATTGAAACACCTCGCATACTCAAAATATAATTTTTCATTCTTCGATTCACTTTCACCTGATCCCTGTGAGGCGTTTTGAGGATAACGAGTCATTGTAGTTTATTAATTGAAAGTTCTGTAATATATCTTATCATAGAATGTAATTTAAATTCTCTCACCATTTTATTTCAGTATCATTAGAAATAATATGGCTCTAGAAAAATCGAGTCAAAGTAAGAGAGTTGTGATTTTAAGAAACCATTAAGATGTCTTTTTGTACAATTAAATGACTTCTAGTCATTCTACGAGTGAATAACATTATTTTGTCTTCCAATAAAGTATCTGGATTTTTAAAAAATTATCAAATTTAAAATGTGATCCCAGATTGAGATTCCTCTTGTAAAATTAAAAAGGAAATGTTTTATGCTCAGAGCCGGTCAGAGTCGAAGTGGAGAAGTTATTAGCCCTCAAACTGACAAAACTGTCAAAAACGACCAAATTGTCAATTGGCCTTTTTGAACGCGATTTTGAACCAAAAGGGGTGACCTGGGCCTCCCCAAAGGAGAATTTTTTTTCTATCTATCAGCCATACCGACTGGCGTTGAAAAAGATTGAAAAAGTTGAAATGTCACGCCAGCCTGACCTTTGAACTTTGACCCCTGGCCAAATTGGTCAAAATTATACGTTCGAGGGGTGCGTCTTGTTCGTCTCGGCGGGATACGACCGTCAGAAAACTGCCGTCAGAATTGACCTCCGACGCTCCGTTTGGCCGGTAGGGGCGATTGAACACTTTATTGAACATTTGAACATAACACTGCCATTTCGATTCCGATCGTCTAGAGCATAAAATACTATTTCGTTTTCTTTTGTCAAGATAAACCCGAAACAATGGTTACCTTTTCATATTTCTCCCGAACCACTCCCCC